CATTTCCAACAGACATTCGGATGATTGGCATTAATCTTGTTTAATTTTAAGTGTTAAATACCATCTTAAACTGAGTTTTAAAAATTTTCCCTAATTCTCACTGACATAAATCTTAAAACCTTCATTTTCCATATCTTCCTCCATTCTTCTTTATTCATTCTTTTTCCAATGTCTTGTTCCCACACTATTTTCAGTCCCTCTTTCTCACTTTCTTCTTCCTCTAAATTAAGAAATTTTACACAGTACCTTTTACATAGTTAGTCATCTGAATGTCCTCATATGACAATAGAAATTGTTCATACTTTGTATATTCTCTACCTTTATTGTATTTATTTACCCATTCCTTAGTCCATCTTTCTAGTTGTATATAATTCAACCATCAAATACTCTTATTCTGAAATATTTGTTTAATTTGATCTATCGATCTCATTTTATACAACCAATCTTTCAATCCAATCACTTTTTTTTCTTTAAATAAATCCGCATACACTTTCATATTGGTAGGAAAATTTTGTGTCAGGGAACTTTTTTACTACTGCAGGGCAGGAGGAGAAAGGAGAGGCAGGGACAGCCCTGGATCGCCGCTGGGCGCAGGAAGCCAAAATGTTCCCTGCTCATCCCTGGAGCTGGTCTACTTTTGAGTAAGCCCCACCAAAGGTACCAGTCTACTCATGAGTAAGGGCCACTGAAAGTGTGGTTCTACTTATGAGTAAGGGCCACTAAAGGCATGGGTCTACTCATGAGTAAGGCCCACCAGAGGTATTGGGCTGGGGCGCGCGGGTCATAGGGGATCCTTCATGGATGGTGCGTGCATCGGCGGTGGAGAAGTAGGAAGGAGAAGCAGGGCGGCTCCAGTTCGCTGCCGGGCACAGGAAGCCGGCGCACTCCCTGCCCATTCTTGGTGCAGGTCTACTCATGAGTAAGGCCTGGCAAAGGCATGGGTCTACTCAAGAGTAAGGGCCCCGCCTCAGCTGCCCTAAGCATCGGCCACCATCCGCTGGGGAGTGAGTGCCATTGGAAGAGGCTTCAGTCTGCCTGGTAAGGTGCTGCTTTTTGCTTTTAAGAGACTTCTGGGTGGGTTTTGCACGATGGTTTCGTCTGAGGGGGGTTATGTTTCTGTGCTGTGTTGTGTGTTTTTGGTGGGGTTTTTTGGCAGCCTTTGGGCCTTGCTGTGTTTATTTTTGGTTGTTTTTTTTTTTAAAGCCCCAGCACCTTCCAATGGGGCTTTCTGTGTGCTTTTTTAAATGTTTTTGAGATGCTGGAACGGATTAATCCCCATGCATTTCAATGGGAAATGGTGCTTCGACTTACGAAAATTTTGAGTTACAGCCAATTTTGTAAGTTGAGGCACCACTGTATTTGAATAGTGCTATTATCTCTCCCCTCAGTCTTCTTTTCTCAAGGCTAAACATGCCCAGTTTTTAGTCTTTCCTCATAAGCCTTGATTTCTAGTCCCCTGATCATCCTTGTTGCCCTCCTTTGAATTTGCAAATTTGTTGGCACCCTTCTTAAAGTGTGGTGTCCCGAACTGGAAACAGTACTCTAGATCAGTGGTTCTTAACCTTTGTTACTCAGATGCTTTTGAACTGCAACTCCCAGAAACCCCAGTCAGGACAGCTGGTGGTGAAGGCTTCTGGGAGTTGCAGTCCAAAAATGCTGAGTAACCCAAGGTTAAGAATCAGTGCTCTAGATGAGGCCTAAACAGTGATGAATAGAGGGGAATTAGTATCTTGCAGCAGTGGTCTCCAACCTTTTCTAAACCATGGAACGGTTGGGGGTGGGGTCCGTGCGCAGGGGGTGAGGCACTGATGCGTGTGTGGGTGGGCGGGGCACCCATACACATGCATGCAGGCGGGGGCGTCTTGTACACACATATGCAGGTGACTGGGGCACCCGTACACATGCGCAGGGGTGGGCAGGGCACCCCATGCACACATGTGCGGGGCACCCGTGTGTGTGGGGCCATGCCTGCTTGCATGCATGGGAGGGTGTACGTGTGGGGGTGGAGATCTATCTCTGCAGCCCAGTCCTGCCAAGGCCACAGACCAGTACCGGACTGTGGACCAGGAGGTGGGGAACCTGGCCTTACAGGATTTGGGGACTTCTATTAATGCATCCTAAAATAGCATTGGCCTTTTTTGTGGCCACATCACACTGTTGACACATAGTCAGCTTTTGATTTTTAACAATTCCAAGATCCTTCTTGCATGGAGTATTACTGAACGAAGTATTCCTCATTTTGTAACAGTGCATGTGGTTTCTTTCCTCCGCCCCAGGTGTAGAGCTTTGCATTTATCCCTGTTAAGTTTCATTCTGTTGTTTTCAGCCTATCAAGATCTTTTTGAATTTTGTTCCTGCTTTCCAAGATATTAGCTTTTTCCAACCACATTACGGAACCAAACTCCCAATCTTTGGTTTCGCAGATACCGAATTCACTGAGCTAGCAAGCCAGATAAAGCACAAATGAAAACTTTTCATTGTTTCAAAAAACCTCATAAATATTCTCTGTAGAGGGAAATGCATGTGCATAGTCAGTTAAGAAGGGTGCACTGCTATATTTTGCCACAAATACACACCCTTGTCTGCTTTGCGGTGTTAAACAAGATACCATGGTCTGCTACATAGGCAATTAAGTGGATTCTAAAACTAAGCTTGAATTCTTACTAGAAGTTAAAATGACTAAACAGAGGCTACTGTGGTTTGGACATAACATGGGAAAACAAGATCTATTGGAAAAGACAATGGTGAAAATCCTGTTACTTACATTATACCAACACAAGTCACACATCATAAACTGTAGAAGCTGCTCCTAGTTAAGAAGTTGACACTTACATTTCATGTCATATACCAGTTCTGCATGTGATGAATATAAACATCTATATCTTACTCAGTGGAAATTTTCTGCTTTAATCTGTGCTGTTTGATTTATACTAGCATATGTAAATAATAGGATTTTGCCTTGTAATGACAGGAAAAAAGGGAAGGCAGCAAGAAAAGAAACAGACCTAAAATAGGAGGGTTGCCTCAATGAAGGAAATAATGTCCTTTATTTTTCAAAACCTGGTGGTAAATCTGTCAGAGGCTGTGATGCTGAAAAAACAGATGTTAGCACATGTTGCCTGCAAACCGCCCAGAGTAGACCTTTGGTCTAGATGGGCGGGATAGAAATCCAATAAATAAATAAATAAATAAATAAATCACTGCTATAATACCACAGCTGAAATACATATTTACTCCAAACAAGCAAGAAATAATCAAGTATGTGTGTTTTAGGAATTTTAGAATAGGTCTGCTGCTGAATCTGAATACAAAATGAATTCAGCTACTTTACAAATAGAATGATTTTTAATAGGAATATTAAAAACCTTCAAGAAAACAATATTAAACCCTGATGAAAATAACTATCCTTTGGAAACTTAAGAGACATGTATTTTAAGAAATATTTCATGAAGGACCGTGCCATTCCCAGTAACTTGCAATCCTTAAATCTTTTTTTTAACGTACACAATTGCTTCTTACTCAAGATAGCTCATTTTTTGAGTTTTTAAAACTACTGATGTAAAGAATCAATCATTCTTTTACCATGTGAGACCCCCAGAGACATATAGCATCATCTAGCAATGTGACATCAGATTGCTTGTTCCTTAATGGTTCATTACAGCTGTTCATGCAACTTTCTCCCACCCTCTCGCCATCATCATCCTAAATAGCACTTTTGATGCTAGTTTCTGGTTGGAGTTCCTCTTTGCCCGTCTCTAGAATGGCTTCCGTCGGATCTAGCTGTTCTTGTATATTTGTTTTCACAGCATGGAGTGCATAATTAATGACAGTATTTCCAATCCATGTCCAAGACCCAGAGAGAGGGTTGTATAACATTCCTTTCACTGTCTTGACTGAAAAGCCATCTGTAAGAGTATAAGAGAGAGAGATTGATATTGGGGAGGAGTTAGGTGACCTTTACTGAAAAGGAGCTAATGAGCATGGTAATAATTCACATTAGCAAAATTCCTTGCAGTGGAATTCCAACACACTGGGTCATATTGGTCCATCCTAAATAGTAATCTGCCTCTTGAGAATAGGTTTCAAGTATTAATCCCATCAAACCATTCAAAAATATCCATATTAAGTAAAACATATTCTCCTGAAGAACAAATGCTCCCAATATTAATATAAATGTATAACTGTTCAATTATTTTCACACACTGATTAAATGTTCAGGTTATACACCTGAAGCCAAGGACTTTCCAAACTATATACATTTTTATTCTGATACTTAAAAGATTCTCTTTGTGGTAGCATTCCATATAACATCTGAAAACCTTCAACTGTAGCTATCAGCTGACACACTGAGCTGTTCATTTGTGCCAAAGGGTAGCTGCTTAAAAAAGAAAGGTTACTTACCTGTAACGATGGTTCTTCAAGTGGTCATTCTGTGAATTCACACAA